CAGCCTCAATTGATGGTTTCAATGACACTTCTAAAGTTGCTTCAAAGCCTTTGTATACCAAAAAATTGAAGGAAAAAGATGACCAAGTTCACAATAAACATGGAAAAGAAAGGAGGAACAACTTTGAATGGAGACTTCCAGTGATGACAGCAACAATTGCTGCATTTATAGTTAGATTACAAGTTGGAGGCAGAGTGGCTAGTGAAGTAGAAGAACATATAGGTGGTTCTTTGGCGTTAACAATAGTTAATAGCTCTTGGATGCAGGTTATACTAGCAGGGATTACATGGTATTGCATTGGAATTGCAATAGTAGAATTGGTAGAAACTTTTCAGAATAGGTGAGAGAAGTGTACAAAGAAAGGGCACTGTTAATGAAAACAACTTCATTTGGCATTGTAAATACTTGCAATAGGAATTGTATTGAGCATTTATATCAACTAAAATGAATGTTCATTTGCTTGAATCTAAAGACTTGAACCAAAATAAGATGGATAACATTTGATGTTCGTAGTACATATTAGCATGCTCCGGCGAATTATTATCAACAGTATATTCGCAAAATAACATAAAAAAGTACATCTTCATTGAGGAAATTGACAAATTTCGCTAACTTGGAAACATCATTTCTTACAAAGTAAGCACCCTTACTTGTTAAACAAATAAAGGATCCATACATCTATAGTACCATAGTATTTTCTTTGCCAGTTCACACTGAAGAAAAGTGGTGCAATGACACTCCAAAATCCAATGGAATATGATACAAACACAAATGAATAGAAAATCAAAGGTTCATTAAGAACTCTTTTTTCTTCCTTCTCATTCAGATCATGTCTTCTTCCGTCACCTCTGTGGAAATTATCTGAGCATTCTTTTTGGATTTGTTCCCCACAGAGTCTTGGGTTGCCCATAAAGCTACTTTCGCTGAATGTTGAGAGCTGTTGATCAAATGGGATCCTGCCTGAGAGGTCATTAAAGGCAACACTAAAAGTTTCAAGGTATTTGATTTGGACAATTTGAGGGGGTATAGGTCCTGTTAGCCTGTTGTGGGAGAGGTCTAAACTCTCCAAATTTGAGAGGTTTTGGAAGGATGTTGGAATATGACTGATGAAAAGATTGTGAGACAAGTTCAAAGAATGGAGTTCAGATAATTCACCAATTTCAACAGGAATCTCACCGCCTAACTGGTTATCTGAGAAATCAATACCAGTCATGAGAGTGAGAGGAATACCTTGGAAAGAATAAGAATTGCCCTTGGTGGTGAAATCAATTGGAACCCAAGAGTATGCTTGAAACTTCTTTCTCCAGACTAAATTGTTTCCAAGGCAAGAAGGAACGTTCCCAGAGAAGCTGTTTTTGGAAAAATCTAAGAACTTCAACTTTTGCATTGTGCAAAGTTGCCTGGGAATGTACCCTCCAAAATCATTTCCTCCCAAAAGAAATGCTCCTAGTTGCTTGAAAACAAGTGGTTGGCCTGAAATAGTTCCGGACAGCAAGTTTTTTCTTATATCTAGCAGCATCAAAGACAGACTGCTCAATAAACACAGTGGCAAATTCCCATTGAACTGATTGTTGTGCAGTAATAACCATCTCAGTTGTGTCATATTACAATCTTTTGGAAGCATCTCCCCGATCAAGCTATTGTTTGATAGATTCAAGTACCATAGAGGGGAGTTTTGGGTTAGGCCACTTGGAATAGCTCCAGAGAGGAGATTGTTAGATAAGTCCAAGTGTTCCAGATTTTTCAATTCACCTAAGGAGGAGGGAATGGTACCAAAGAACATATTGGAGGATGCATTGAACCTATAGAGCTTGGGAAGAGACATATTGGTGTCTAAGGGCAGTCTCCCTACAAAATGATTATCTGAGATATCTAGTTCAACAAGTGTGGATACAATATTTTGCAAGTCTTGAGGAAATTGACTCAAAAAACAATTGCCTCGTAGCCTCAATACAGAAGAAACATTATGAAGCATCCAAGAGGGAAAGTTTCCTGTAAGTAAGTTACTAGACAAATCTACAGTCTGTAGGTTATTTTGGTTAAGAAGGAAACTGGGAATGTTCCGGCCAGTTTGGTTATTGAGGTTACATCCTGCCAAAAAGAGATGTTGTATTTGAAAGGAAGAGTGCCAACTTGGGGTTTCAGATTCCACTTCTAAATGGTGATTGTAAGAAAGATCTAGGTGAGAAAGCCTCGAAAGGTTTGCGAAAACAAAAAGTGGCACAATACCTTGAAAAAGGTTGTGAGAAATATCGATGTATTCTGCTTTCGAAAGATTAGCAAAGATGGAGGTAAGGTTCCCTTGGAATCGGTTCTTTGACAAATCTAATGTTCTCAGTGATGGCATGTTCCCCCAACATGGTTGCACAAAATCTTCTTCAATTGAGTTGGATGAAAGATCCAAACGTTGCAAGTAATCAAGGTTGCATAATGCTGCATCATGAGTCCAGAATTATGTTGTAAGTAATAGCTACACATAGGGACAATTAAAATTAAAGAGCATAAAGAATAAATAATTAAGAACCTCACCTTCAGGGTTAATCAATCCCCCAATGTTATTGCCTGTAAGATGTAACTCTTGCAATTCTTTGAGTTGAGCAAACAAACTCAAATCTGGAAACCATAACTCTTTATCTTCCCTAATATTTTCATAGAAAATCTTAACAACATGAGGGCTTGTGAGGCTACATTCAACTTCTTCCCACTTGCAACAATCATCAGAGTATTTGCTTGGGTAAGGATATTCATCTCCAAAACCCATAGATTCTATTACTTGCTCAAGAGCTCTCCTCTCGTCATCTAAGCAACCTCTGCACCATCCATTGTTGTGAAAGACTATCAGCACTACAAACAAAAACAACTCAATAACATTAGCAGAGAAAATTGCCATAGTGGTAAATTACCCCTTGTTCCTAAGCAAGATAAACTAAAAAAAATGCACCAATGTACAACTCTGTTTCATTCTTTTTTCTTTTATAATCAGCACAAAACAGTGTTTCGTTCTAGTATTCAAGCAGAGGAAATGAAGAGTGGTAGAAAAGCCTGAGATTTGCATTAGAGAGAGAGAATTCATTTAATAACGTGGATATGTCATTTCTTATGTTATCCCTGTATTGCATAGAAATTGGATCTAAACTTATGTGTTTGGACATGTCAATAGGAGAGTTTCCTTGTTACCACTAGAGGACCAATAGAAGACTAGGGAAGTTGCAAGAAAGCTAACAAAGTTCCTTTTTTATCAAAAGCGACTAATTGCATGCAAGCAAAGACTTTGACTTTGAATGTAAATGATTCGTGTAATTCAGCTACCAAATTCTTTTGGCCAACCAATTGATTTTCTAATTTGAAAATGTATATCTCTATTTGTTTCTGTTCCCTATCCATACATAACAACCAAAGAAAGACAAATGAAGGTTCATCGCAGCAAGTAAACGTGGTCAAATTATTGATTTAATTACCATAGAAATTTCACTTGACTTGACTGGCAGAAAGAGAAACTTTGTTTATGCAAACTAGATAAGAAATGACACCTAATTAGGAAGCTCAACAATTTTCATGAACAAAGAAGGTCTTCTCATGCAGATTACAATCACTTACAATTTCTTCTTGTTCTTTCTCTTGCTTATGTGCCTAAAGTGCCATGGTTGCATGGATGAAGAAAGGGTTGCTCTAGGGCAAATCAAACGTTCAATAAACAGTCCGCAGGGAACTGCTTTTTCAAGTTGGTATGAGGAAGACTGTTGCCAGTGGGAGGGTGTTGAGTGCAATCCATC